GTGTAAACCTCTTGGGATTGTCGGAAAGAAGGCGGGGCGACGGGATGGGACGTCTACGATGTGTTCCTATTTCCTCTTGGACATCCCGCATTGCGGGTCTTTGCTGTTGTCATCTACGAGTGACCTTGTGCATGTCGCTTTGTGTGAATGTGCTCCCTGCTTTTGCCCCCCTGCCCCCCTCTCCTCGTTCTCCTACTCCTCCTCCACTTTCTCCTTTTCATTTCCCTTTTTGTCCTTATTAGTTTTATCATTTTTTCGATATTCACTTATTCCTCGTTTTATCAACTTAGCTTGATCGTCATCCCCGCGCTCCTCCGCTGCCTCCCCGCGCCCTCCCCGCTCCCTCTCCGCTCCCTTCTCCCGCTTCCCCCTTCTCTCTCTCCCTCTCCCTCTCCCTCTCCCTCTCCAATCGGGTCACACTCACTCTAGGACTTTCTGGGCCCGATCTGGCTGCATTCGAGGTCAGATACATCCAGGAAAGTCAGTAATAGGAGTCCAATCTGGTCACTGTCGAGGTCGTATACATCCGTAAAAGTCAGTGTACACACTGTATCTGGTCGCATTTAAGGTCAGATACATCCCGGAAAATCGGTGTATAAGTACGCCGTGTGTGTTTAGGCAGATGCGGAATGCGTCCAGTGTTCGAAGAAAAGCATATAGTCAACCGGACAAAAAAAGCAAAAAAGCAAAAAAAAGCAAAAAAAAGCAAAGAAAAGCAAAGAAAAGCAAAAAAAAGCAAAGAAAGACAAAAAAAAGAAAAAAAAGAAAAAAAAAGCAAAAAAAGGAAAAAAAAAACAAAAAAAGGAAAAAAAGGAAAAAAAAACAAAAAAGCAAAAAGGAAAAAAAAAGGAATTAATCATGGATGGGATATGTAACAAGTTTGCATTTTCTGAAATATTACGTCAAAATTTCGCAAATACATTTTTTGGAATTTCTAATCACGTTTTAGAAATGTAATTAGATATTTCCGACAATTTAATAAAGAATTTACGATATTATGATTTGTGATATTAGTACCTAATTTTCTAATTGTGTGGTGTGCACATAGTGGCCTTGTGACAGGAGTTCCCCTTTTTTTTTCCCGCTTTTTTTTCTCTTCCCCCCCCCCCCGGAAAAAGAAAACAAAGAATAAAAAAGGAATTATGTGCGCTATTATGATGCGATATTCAGAGAAAAGAAAAGAATCTAATGAGTTATTCGCAGGGCATATTGATATTTTCAAATTTTAATAATAATTGTCAATTAATTGCGACACATGTTTAGTGGTTGGTAGTGGAACGGGAATTGAGAAAAGAACCCAAAAACTATAAAAATAAAAATCATTAATTGTAAGGCGTATTTATGCATTATAATTGCATGCCACATTTATCGACTAATTGCATGGAACATTTAATGTGACGATATATAAATGTGTATGAAATTGAAAAGTAATTGTTCGCCGTTTTAGGCAAAAAAAAAAAAGAAAAAAAAAAAAAAGAAAAAGTCATAATTGCAAGTACTGTGCCATGTGCCTCAATTAGGCAGAGAGAAAAATCTGCACATAATAAAATAAATTAAAAACTAATATTTGCATAATAATACGGTAATATATGACTTGCAATTAGGCAGAGAAAAAAATCTCCCTTTTTATGATTTCATATAAACCATTCGCAATTAGACAGATTAATTGATTGATTACTTGATTGATTGCTCTATTGATTACTTGATTGATTAGTTGATTTTTTTATTGATTCATGGATTGATTCATTGATTGATTCATTGATTGATTCATTGATGTGGGTGCAGCCACTGCTGCAGTGCTGGGTGAGGAGACTGTTTCTCACTGCAGTCCCCCACCCTCCCCTCTCTCCTCTCCCATCCCCTGATCCCTTCCCTCTTTTTCTGTCTGTCCCTCTTTCCGGCAATGCTTCAGCTGGCCCTTCTCTCTCTCTCCCCCTGTGTGTGTGTGTGAGAGAGAGAGTGAGGGAGGGAGGGAGGGAGGGAGAGAGAGAGAGAGAGAGAGAGAGAGAGAGAGAGAGAGAGAGAGAGAGAGAGAGAGAGAGAGAGAGAGAGACGGAAAAGGCTTGAGTGTCACAGACGTATGTCTCGTGGAACTTTTAACTGACTCATCAGGGATGGAGTGTATGTGTGTGGGGGAAGGAGGAGGGCTGTCCGACTCTCACAAATTCATCCAGAGGGGATTTACATAGATGCACACTTATGCATCTATAGATTCTATAAATGTATATATTTGTACATGTTTGACGGTATACTGCCAAATAAACCGTTGGCAGAGAGGGAGAAGAGGACAACAAAAGAGGTTGTGACAAACTGTTTCGTTGGAGTTTCACCGACTTATCAGGAGGCTGAACCCTCAGCAGTCTGCAGAATCCCCTAACTGATTACACTGTAAGTGATAGTCCACCTTAACTCTGGTTGTAGTTAAGCATCAACAACTTCCCGACAACCGACACCTAGTGGTGGGCACGAGTTGTCCAGGGAGGTGGATAGACTACTGCAGGTACGTGGTCTCAACATGCATGACGATCAGGTACTATACATCTACTCCGGGGCACTTCCTGAGCCTATTAGGGGCAGCTGGTCGCAGAAGCCAAATCAGGTAAGTATAGCTATTGTCAATTCTGAGACCTTGCCTTACAGAGAGAGCAGATGATTTCCCAAGTCAAAGGTACGTATGGAGAGGTGGCCCCTCGACGAAACCGAGGGTGGGAATAACAACAGCAGTGAGTCGGGAAAGGGTGACGTCAGTGCTGTAGTGGCCAACAAGCGAGGCACATCTAATGGAGGAGTGAAGAAGAAGAGGCCACCTTCCTTCCCTATCCATCCTGGCATAGCCTCTGGGAAGCCATGGGAGAAAATGGGAATCTCTTAGAAGGTATGGTAGGACCACATGGACAACGGCCAATGCCTCAAGTGCGGCACTGAGGCCCAAGGACACGTCATCAAATGGCGTCTGTTAATTAGGAACCCAAAAGGGAGCAGCCAACAGTAGTAGCATTTGCTCCTACTAAGTCGAACGGTCCGTATGTGTTGGTGCCACAAACCCCTTTTAACCCTCCAACTCCTATGGCAGAGGATGGCTCTTCTTCGGCCTCTCACCCAGTCCACCCTGAGCGAGTCTTGTGTTCCCTTACACTGGGTGAGTCCCTTGATGAACTTGGAACTGAAATGATTGCCTTACAAAGTTCATGGGCTAGGAAAGCTAAGTCTAAGGGTGAGTTAATGATTGCAGACGTTGAGATTGCGGACACATGTTGGTGCTTCGCTTGATCCCGGTTTACTAGGTCCTACATCTCTGAGAAGGCAATTAGGAAATTGCATACAGAGATGAAGGAACAAGAGTTGCCCAGTCCAATCATGTCTATGCTTGCTGATCAAAGCACCGTAACTGTCTCACACTATGTTAACTGAGTCAAATCCTACTTTAGAATAAAGGAAGGAGAGAGAATATTGCACGAGGTCACCTTCCTAGTAGAAAATCAGTTACCATTTGACTTGATACTGGGAATAGTTTGGCATTAGGAAACCGAACCTGAAGTTAAGTTTAAAGATAAAATTGT